ATCTTTGGCGATTTTGTTTCTAGTGGTCTGGGTAAGGTTTTGGATTGAATTAGGGGAATTCTTAGAATTGGTGGTGAGTTTAAAGATTGGGCTTAATATTAAGAGAACATTTGGTATTCGGCTGTTTTTTATAAATAAGCTTGGGTGAAGGGTCAGGATAAGCTCCGAGATGGGATTTGACTTATAGGTTAGCACTGAAACACATGAGTTGTTGCTTTTTGTCTCTGGAGACGCAGGGCTTCCTGTAATGACTTCTTTGCTCTCGTGATCCGTGAAGTTGATAACCCCTGCTGTTCCTCTGGGCTCTGGTGATGATTAACCAGCCTGTTTGATTGCTCTGTGGGCTTCTATTACTGTCTGCTCTTTCTTCCCAGCATGCACTGCCACAGGAGCTTGGCTGGGACCAGGTGAGCCTCCTTTGCTTCCTTTCCTCCCCTCTCCTCCTCTCATGCCCCCTCAGTCTCACTTGCTCGCACTTCACCATGCTTCTGCTTCCTCATTCATTTCCTCTTCCTGCCTTTGATTACATTGTGCAGTGCCTTGTCCCCCTGCGTGTGGTTTGGAGTTTCTCAGTCTGCCCCGCCAGCTCTCTGCCCATCTCCCTGCCAACGGCGCAAAGGGGTGTCAGCTTCTCTCTCCCTCTCCTAGGTGCGGGTGACGGAGGAGCTGTCAGCCGCCACGGCGCGGATGTCCCAGCTGCAGCTGGAGGTGACCTCCCACCAGCAGAGGGATATGGAGCTACGCAGCCAGCTGAGCGCCGCCCTGCAGGATGCAGAGAAGTACAGCGCCCAGATCAGCACACTGCAGGCACAGCTGGCAGGTACGGCGGAGTCCAGTGCCTCCATTCAGAGCCCATCGTACCTAGTCTGACCCCACTGCAGGGTTAAATTAGCCATTTAATTCGTAGGGAATTCCCAAAGCGGTGATCCTGCAGGAACAACAGTGCGGTCAACGAAAGCATGACGACCACAGTCACTTCAATTTGTCACCATTCTCAAACTGTTTCTGTGAGCTGAGCTCTGGCTTTATAAGATAAGAAAGAGATCACTTTATTAGCCACTTTATTGCTCTCCATGAGACACACAGACAGGGAGAGAAGCTGGGGGTCAGAGCGCAGGGTCGGCCATTTATACGGCGCCCCTGGAGCAGCTGGGGTTAAGGGCCTTGCTCAGGGGCCCAACGGAGTAGGATTCCTCTGCCGGCCACGGGATACGAACCGGCAACCTCCCAGCCACAGGTGCAGATCCTGAGCCACAGGGCCACTGCACTGCCACCTACGTGGTGTACTCTGGTAATTTACTGATTCCTAGGTAGGGCTGTACTTGTGGTGCCGATGACTGAGATACTTGTTCCTGCATGTTCTCGCCATCTCTAGTGCCACCATGCCCTTCTGCAGGCCTTGTTGGCGTTTGCCTGCTGTCCTCTCAGTGTAACCTGTATCCTGTTGGCCCCACGCAGCCCCCTGGCTTGTTAACGTGTCAGCTCGTCTAAAATCCTTTTCCCCGAGCTTTTGTGCTCCGGTGTCAGGAGCTGCATCCCTGTTAAACACACGGGCCAGCATCGCTCGACGTGACCTGGTAGCACGCAGAAGCCTTGTTAGCGCCATCGCTGGTTTAGCGCTGAACGTCTCGGGAGGGCGGCAGACGGCCAGGGCAGTGACCACGAGCTCTCGCATTGCCCCCCCCCCGCAGAGCTGGGGGAGACGAGCGCGCGCGCTCAGGGGCAGTACCGCGCGGAGAAACAGCGCCGCAAGGAGCTGGAGGTCCGAGCCGCCAACCAGGAGGAGGAGCTGCAGGACCTGCGGGCCGAGAAAGAGGGGCTGGACAGGGTGAGCTGGCTGTCTCGCAGACGTTTGTGTTTCTACACAGTGGACGCTTTCGTCCAAAGCTGCTGAACTGGGGTGTATTTACAGGTTGGTTGAAGGTACTTACTTAAGGGTACCCCAGCGCTGTCTTACATTGCATTCGAACCCACAACCGGTTACGAGTCCAGAACCCTAACCACTGCTCCACACTGCTGTCCTGCAGGACCCTCTGTCCTCCACACCCCTGTCACTACAGGGGTGATAACCTCTCATTAACTCACATCCTCCATTCCTTCAATTATCTCTGATCGGCTGGATTGAATCCCAACACAGGGTGAATTCAGAGCCCAATAAACCAGTATGGGTACTTTAGGATTTGTGAGAAGATTGTATTCAGTTTATTTTTGCAAAATTCTGTTTTGCATGCCCTGATTTATGCAAGGTATGATAAGTATCCTGTAGACCTCTTTTGAATTAACATTGAAATGTGACCTAGAAAGACACAAGTGAAAAAGCCGTAGAAGTCCTTAGAAAGTTGAGAACAGGACGCATATCTTTGTACAACAGGAGGTGGTAATAATTCCTTACCCTTTTCTGGACACCCCACTCAAAGTGCTTTACAGGTAATGGGGAATCCCACTACCGCCACCAATGTGTAGCCCCACCTGGATGATGCGCCAGTCCGCTCCCCACACACCAGCTCTCAGTGGGGAGGAGAGCAGAGGGATGAAGCCAGTTCAGAGATGGGGATGATTAGGCCATGATTGGTAAAGGCCAGGGAAAAATTTGGGCAGGATGCCGGGGTAACACCCCCACTCTTTTTTTAGAAACTCCCTGGGATTTTTAATGAGCAAGTCAGGACCTTGGTTTTACATCTCATCTGAAGGACAGTGCCTTTTTACAGTATAGCATCCCCATCACTATACTGGGGCATTAGGACTCGCACAAACCGCAGGGTGAGAGCGCCCCCCTACTGGCCCCACTAACACCTCTTCCAGCAGCAACCCTAGATTTCCCAGGAGGTCTCCCATCCGGGTACTGGCCAGGGTGATATTGCTGCTGGCGGAGGAGGTGGGAGCGTGGAACGAGTTCCACAGCCCCGTCGTAGAAGCCGACACTCTGCGGCTTCTTTCAAGAAACCCCGGGATGAGATCCTGGGATGAGGATTCCGAACTTCCAGACCGTAGATCAGGAGGGCTGAACGCCTCCTCTCCGTTTGTTACCGCCCTGAGGCCCTGGAGTGTTGCTCCCACGCCAGGGTCTCTGCCCGCGTGCTCGTGGCCCCAGTGTGGGAGGGCTGACCGCGTGTCCCCCCGCCCTCAGGCGCTGGCGGACAGGAAGAGGAAGTGGGCGGAGGAGAGGCAGCGGCAGGAGGAAGAGCTGGAGGAGGGGCGGCGCTCCAGCCAGCAGGAGCTGGACCACCTGCGGGCTCAGCTGAGACGGGCCAGAACCAGCACCGACCAGGCCACTGCGGCGCAGGTACAGATCTGAAGGGGGAGGGAGGGAGAGACAAGGGGGAATACAGAGGGAAAGGACATTTGGGGAGGGAAGTATAGTGATCTCTGCTGTTTCCATAACAAATTGGTAAACGGGGGGAATGATGCCTGGATAACGCGAAACTCGGGTTGGCTTGTACGCGATTTCATCCCCGTCAGGTTTACGTCTTGCGTCGCGGAGTAACGGGGCGGTCTGCGGAGGATTACACAGGATGCTCGGTGGTCCCAGGGGCTGTGGTTTGGAAGTGCTCCTCAATTTTTTGCGCCGTTTTCTCAAAGAGTGTCTGCGCTGCCGGAAATATGACTGGACAAGGTGACAGGAATGTGTCTAAGAAGCGTCAGGTGTCAGGTGGTGAACATCACCTCCTAAATTTCCTGTAGTATTTCTTTATGGTGAATTGAACATGTATCTAAACTGAGCTAACATTTTGATTAGGATGATGATTAAATTTGGTGGAGCTCGGGTTAGGCATGCGGTTAGGTCTGGGGCGGTCTTTCCCATAAGCCCCGTTGTTTTTATGGCGCGGCTTTTTGCGTAACGCGAGGTTTAACAGGAACGCGTCAGTCGCGTTATAGCAGAGGCGCCTGTATAGCCTAGAGGGGATAGGGAGTGCAGCCCGCAGAGAGGGAGAGAGGGTGCCTCCTGTACAGTGTAAAGACAGGAGGGTAGAACC